AATATCACCAAAATATTCACAAAACATGCAGTGCTTATCCCTCCTCTAAATACCTTGAGCTCCTGTTTCACTGCAGATCAGCATTCTGCATTAGCAACAGAAGATTAGCAATTTAACACGTCACCCATATTAAATGCCAAGTACAACAAACAACCTTGAGATGCCTCACTTAGTGAAAGCCCATGGGTAGTGAAGATCAGTGCAGATTAATATTCAGATACAGTGTACATTTTTGATTTGTGCCAGGATGGCCTCTGGCATGGCGACGACATATGCGTTTCCCAGTGCTGATAACACGAAAATAAAATAATATGCGCCATTGTCTACATGTGCGCGAATCTAAAAATGAACCTGCTAAGTATGCATATTTTTATTTCATTTACATGTATATATGTTTAATGTTTATATATTTATGCAGAATGACATCTTCCATGGCCTAAAGGCAGCTATTAATGGTCTATAGATGAAGAAAATGTGGTTCAAACTTTTGTACCATTACATTTGATTCAGATTAAAGATGAATTCTAGCAATGGTATATTTTATACATAGCTATATTAATCCATCTGGGACCAACATTACTATGTATATACCATACCTGGCCAATCCCCCTGGAAGCTGGAAATCACTGAAGCAGACACTATTATTACAGTGATCTCCACTTGGATCTGGGTTTCTTGCTGACCTGCTGCATTGTGAAGACAGGAGGTCAACTGCTCTGCAGGGATGACATTCAGAGAATGCTTCACATTTTCGGAATTAATGAAAAGAGATCTCTGATTGGCTGAGGTGGAGATTGTAATGTCACCCCCACCTTGTAACTATTTGCAAAAAAAAAAATACATACCTTGAAATCCTCTTTAAAGTAAAAAGCATGTTTTTTTTATTAGTTTTGGATAGAGTGAGATGGGATAGAATACCTGTCAGTTTTTATTGCTGTCTTTTCCCCCATTATGGAGATTAACCCTCTCTATTTGTCCTGTTTACTGAGAGTGAAAGTGAAGGAAAATCCCAAATCTCAACAGAACAGGAATAGAGGAGAAATGTTTCAATGGATACACAAGTACTAGTGACCCTGGTGACAACCAGGGATTTCCTTTCACTTCCTGTTGTGGCTATGGGACAGGAAGTGAATGGAAACCCTTCCAATGGAACATTGGTGGCCAAAAAAAAATTGCAGGGGTTATAATCCTCCCTTACTTTATACAAAATTAAATAAAAAGTTTTGCCTATAGTTCTACAATTGGGTATACTGTACATGTAAGCGATTCTTATGCAGCCTCTTCCCAGGCCACTATAGTTGTATAAGATGAAGAGCCGGCAACTCGTTCTCCCAATAAAATACTATAGTTGTGTCTTCCTGTCCCTGTGTATGTCATCAGACACATCACAGTACCAGTTTTCAGCAGTGTCCACATCCTTTCTAGTAGGAAAAGTACATAGGTTGGTTATTTTGATTGCTGCTTACCCCCATTGGAGAAATTATGACCATTGTCACAGAGGCAGAAAGTATGGAAAACCCAACATTTTATGGCTGTCATTGGAAAAGGAGATAAGCGGAAACATTCCAGAGTGGTTCACACGCTCAGATGATAACTTTAAAGGTGAGTTGCCCTTTCACTTTTGGGGAGGTGTTCACTGAATTCTGTTATGGTTTTAGGACAGGAAGTGAAGGGAAGGCTCCCCAAGAAGACACAGTTATATGAGCACCTTTATTAATAGAGAGGAAAAAGGGGTAGTACTTTCTGGATTTTTAATACAGAGATTTTCCGTCACTGCTGGGGAGATCTGTCATTAATTTCTCTTGTGTCTCCAGACACACAGCAGGGACACAGTAATAGCAGCACTTTTATTAGTATAGTGAGGAATACCTAGAACCTCTTTCAAATAATTGCTGCTTTCTATGTCTGCACTGCAGAGCTTTTCAACCACTTCCTGTTTGTGGTGAGAATCTCCTAAATGGGAACACAATGGGACAGCAATGAAAACTTGACAGTGAATCAAACCCGTCCCACTTGAATCAGGACTTAAAGTAGAACTAAAGGCAAAACCTTTTATTTTGGATAGGGTAAGGGAGCGTTATAACACCTACCAGTTTTTTTTTCATCTGTGTCCCACTAGGGAGATTTCCCTTCACTTTCTGTCCCATAACCAAAACAGGAAGTGAGAGGAAATCCCTGGTTGTCACCAGGGTCACTAGTACTTGTGTACCCATGGGAACATTTCCCCTCTATTCTTGTTCTGCTGAAAACCCAAAATTTTGGATTTTCCTTCACTTTCACTCTCAGTAATAATGGTAAACAGGGCAAATAGAGAGTGGAAATCCCTCTAAAGTAAGGGAATCCTTGGTTGTCACCAAAACTAGTGTTCCCATTGAAAGGTTTCCCGTTTATTACTTTTCTGGGGGCAACCCAAAATGTGGGATTTTATTATGATAATGGTAAACATGACAAAAAGAGAGGGTGAATCTCTCTAATGGGGGTCAATAAAAGCTGACAGGTGTTGTAATCCCTCTCCATTCTATACAAAAGCTAAAAAGAAAAAAAAAAAGTATTGCCTTTAGTTAAACTTTAAAAATAAAATTGGCTGGAGTTCAGCTTTAAAATACATTAGATTTTGAAAAATGCATAGTTTCATTGTTCTTTTTTTGCCTGGCATTCAACTGTGGTAGTAAAGTATAATATGAAAACAAAAGCTTCATTAACCTCCCTGGCGGTATTCCCGAGTGTAGCTCGGGGTAAAGTTTCAGTACCACAAGCGGTAACCCCAAGCTACACTCAGGCTTACCATGTGGCGCTGCTCCGGGATCTGTTCTTCTCTTACCTTGTCCTGCGCTCCCGCGATGTCCCTCCTGCAGTGTCCCTGGCAATGTCCTCCGGCTGTGGATGCCGGCATCTGTCTTCTGGGTTCTGTCCCCTGCGATGTCGGGACGTACGGGGGACGGAACGGCGGGAAATTTGAAAATGAGAAAAAGTGACATTCACTAAATACATTAAAATCACATAGTAAAACATTACTGTATCAAACCATTTCACATACATTTTGTCCCTAGTGCTTTGTCCTGCGCCCTGCCTGCATTTTTAGCGTTCTTTCTGCCTGGAAACTGAGAAATGTCCAATGGGGTCCAAAAAGCGTCCTTTAGGTCAAAAGCGGTTTTAGACCAGCTAGAGAACAGCGATAGTAAATCAGAACTACTTGCAGAATTGAGTGATAATGATTTGTGGGGAAATTCGTCATCAGACACTGAAAACGATTCTGCGACTTTGCTCAGCGATGTGCGAACTTGGCGCTATATTTCAAATTTCAGTGTTTTTGGTTTGATTATATTATTGAATTAAATGTATTGTTATATTATTATTTTTTTTATGATTATTTATTAAATTATAATTTATGATTTTCGTGTTTCAAAATTTAACATACCCGGGATGTTTACTAGACTCTTGTTCGGACAGATTTCAGTGAGTTATTCCCTAAAAATATACAGGCCTACAATAAAAAAAATATATATTTCCATGCAAAAAAATGTACTGCTTTGAGCACAGAAATATGGACATAATCAGACCGCTAAGGAGGTTAAATTTGAAATGAACATTTACAAAATTTGCTACATTATGCGCAATTCTTCAGTTCTGTTTTACAAACCTCGTTCACTGCCAGTAATATTATTAGCCGTTAAGATGTAGCAATGCTGAATCTGTTCAGGAAATCAAGAGTTAAGTTGAATGTTAGAATTGTACTAGATGGTATCACTGCAGGCATACATGATCCCTAAACTGCGGATGGGAGACCCTGGCTGTAATTGTGTTAAAGAATGATTTCTATGTAGCTAAATATAAATGGGTCACGATTCATGTGCTGTCTAAAGATAGAGCTCTACCCCGATGCAAGAATTCACTTAAAATAATGAAAGTTGAGCAAATGCCCACTGTTCAGATAGATGCTAGAACATGGAGACACTTGAAGGGCTTCTATTTATTTATGTATTTTACAGATCCATTTATGTTTGTAGCTAATGATGGCTGCTCCGTTCATCCCTGGCTTATTTTTTATTTCCTTTCATTGGCACCCAGTTGAGGTGTACCGGATTTTATCTTTACACTTTTCAAGGCTTAGTATGGTCTCTTGATTGATTAAAGGATAAGTTCACCTTTTAACTCAAAATAATAAATGCACATTTTTTTGCAGGTAAAAAAATGTGCAATTATTATTTTTTTTTTTATAGAGCCTCTAAAACATTGTACCAGCAGATTACATCCCGTACAAGCAAGCAGATACTACTGACAGGAAGGCTCAATGAATTACCACGGCGCTGTTCAGCACCATGGTAGATCACTGAAAACTACAAGTCGACAGCTGCAAAGGCTGTTGGGACTTGTAGTTTCCTCATTCACAGAATGCTGTGAATGAATGATGCTGACGGGCGGGGCCACATTTTAAAAACAATTGTGCCAGGTAGCGAGGGGGGAGAAGATTCACCGCTAGCTGTCACAGCAGGCAATGGGGGGGCTGGTCACATTGTTACATGTTACACCCTGAATATGAGTGTAACATGTTACGATAGGTGAACTTATCCATTAAAGTGATTGTAAACCTATGTTTTTTCTTTAAATAACAAACATGTTATACTTACCTTCCCTGTGCAATGGTTTTGCACAGAGCACCCCCAATCCTCCTTTTCTCTGGTCCCCCACTCTTGGCTCCCCCCCCCCCCCCCCAGCCTTGTGCCTACCATTGGAAACCGCTTGCTATGGGGGCACTTTTGTGGGCTTACACCTGTATTGGCTCTGTGTGTCAATAGACACACAGAGCATGGCTCAACACCCTCTCCTCCCTTTTCACTGCCTGTGATTGACAGCAGCAGGAGCCAATGCTGTCTCTTAGCCTATGAGGAGCGAGAGAGCAGAGAGAGCATCTGCTCTCATGTACATGACTTGATCAAGATGGGGCTCAGGTAAGTATAAGAGGGAGGTGAGGGAGCTGCACTTAGAAGGTTTTTTTTACTTTAATGTAGAGAATGCATTACAGTGAAAACCCTTCAGCCTTTAGAACCACTTTAAGGAGTCTTTAATCTGCTAGAAAGTTTCAAATTTTCTTGCCTAGCACAGTGCAATGTTGCTACTGATAGACCTTAGAACCTCTTAGTGTGTCCTGCAGCTATGCCATTTAACAACACAACATACCAATAAAATCACTGGTTTATTCCCTTCTCCTAATGACTGTCCTGCAGTGCAGTAATTGTAGAGATGCCAACTCCGTCTAACAATTTTTCAGGGATACACGGTTTCTGGGTAGACAAAACGTACTAACCTACAAATGAAATTCACCAAAATCTTAAAATGAAACCAAATTAACATCCATCAGATATTTGTTTTTTTTTTCTAATATTAATCAAATGTTTTTGAATCCGATAGGCTGCCAATATCACAACTTTCTCTTAGACCAATTTTATGGAATATGAGTGTAATATGCTTAATTTCTAAAGCCCTTTAAATTGTTACTAAACCCAGGACCCAGTATTTACTATATCTGGTCTCCCACAGCACACAGCACATGGAAATGCAATTATTTTAGTAAATATACACTGCCAATTACCTTTTCTTGTCAGCAGTTAGAGCAGTCTTGTGACTTCTACCAATGTTCAGCAGAACACATGTTAAAGCTTATAGGAGGAGTTTTCTTTTTGTTCTAGGAGGATGCAGAACCCCTGACTTCAGCACAGGGCCAATCAGCGCTGTCCAGACAGATCACATGCACTCTCCCAAGAAAAAAAAAACCCTCTCTAGCAACACACACCAAACTAAGCATGTGCAGACTGTCTGCACACGATATGCCTTATCAGGAGATAAGAGGGGGACACTGAAAGAAGGGGAGGATCAGAGAAGTCAGGATCAAACAGCCTTTTTACACAATGCAGAGGATTAACCCCTTAGGTTGCACAGTGATTATAACTAGCACGGTTTACTCCATATGCAGACTGATTTTACTGTTGTGGGTTTAGTAACATTTTCAATATAAAATAGGATATAAACATGTTTTAAAATGAATAGACAGACTTATATAGAAAGTATGTATAAAGATAAACATGTTTATTGATGGAATTGGGAGTTTTGTGTGTTCCCACCTACCTTTTGCTTGTTTCAGCTCCTCCAGCTGCATTTTGATAATACAAAATGTCAGTAGTGGGAACACTCCACACAAAAAAGTCCATTCTTAAAAATAAAAATTGCAGTGTTCCATCTACTGACTATAATGTGGTATTCTCCTGATTTACAAATTTGAGCTGGAGAGAAATTTGCCTAATTACATTTGAATTTACCCCAATTCACACAGTCTGTATCTACATACAGTTTCACAGCAGGAATAGCTGTGCAATATTTTTTTTCATTTTATTTTTGTTTTTTTATAAATACACCCCAAGTGTGTCAATATGGGAAGTCAATAAATATAAGAAACAGTTCTATGTTTTAACTCTCCGGCACCATCCAAAAACATAGGTGGATGCCTATTTAACAACATGCCTACCTGGCCAGTTCTGACATTTCTGTTATACATGTAAAATTCTATGTATTTTTTTTGTTAGAAAATTACTGATTTATTTTTTTAGGCAGACACCCTAGAGAATAAAATGATGGGTGTTACGATCTTTTATTTTGCACGGTATTTGCTCAGTGGTTTTTCAAATTCAGATTTTTTTTAAAAAAAAATACACTTTTTAATGAGTTTTAGTGAACAGAACCACAATATAATATCCAATTGTTTGTTAAAATGTAAAAGATGATGTTTATGTCAAGTCAAATAGATACAAAACATGCCATGCTTTTAAATGGTGCATGCCCCAATGGCAACAAACTGAGGTACATTAAATTATCCTTAGGCAACACTATAACCACTTCTTGTCCGGCCCATGTATATAAACGGCCAGATGGGAGCAGTGCAGGAGCGGGTTGCCGTTCATAAATGGCGCCCGCCATTATAGCCTGTGTGTGCTCCCTGGGAGTGCTCAGCACCGCGATCCGGTGCCCGCTGTGTCCTCTGGATACAGCGGAATGTCTGGATCGCTGTACGGGAGTTCTGTGTGGGGTCCCGATCATGTGATCACTGATTGGCCATCAGTGATCACATGAATAGTAGGAAGCAAGATGTCACTTCTGACATGATCACAGAGGTCACATGGTACAAGGCTATTCACAACAACACAGCCTTGTACCATGTGACAAGCTGTGACCAATCACAGCTCTCACAGTATTTCTCGATGGCTGCAAGAATGCAGCCAGAGAGAAAGAGAAATGATTTTTTTTTATCTCCTTTATGGACGTAAAAGCAATCCGTGTAAAAAAAAAAAAAAATCGTCATCACCCCCCACAAGTAGTACAGTGTCACGCTAGGGTGACAGTATGTTAAAAAAAAAAAACATAAATAATGTACAAATGTAAATTTAAAAAAATTATAATTTTTGATTATAAACTAATTTGGTTTGTTTTTTTTTTTTTTTTTTTACTAAAAAGATAACTAAATACATTTTGGCGAAGATTTATGAAGAAAGATTATTTATTTTTAAAATTGTATAGGAAAAACTCTTTTTTTCAAAATTTGTTGACTTTTTCATTTATATAGCAAAAAAAAAAAAAAAATCCCAGTGGTGAATAAATACTACCAAAATAAAGTTTTATCTGTCTAAAACAAAATGCTAAAAAATTCATATGGGTACAGTGTTGCATGACCGCGCAATTTTTCAATCACAGTGTGACAGCGCTGAAAGCTGAAAAATGGCCTGAACAGGCAGGGGGTAAAAGTGTCCAGACTTGAAGTGATTAAAAGCCTTTACAGGTTACCAGGTTTCACAGGAGATCTAGTACTAGAATTATTGTGCTTGCTCTGTATTAGCGGTGATAATTCACGTATGTACTACAATGGGCTGCAAACAACAAACCAGAAGAGGAAGTGACAAAATCGTTGTCGCTTTCAGTTTCTGACATCACACAGTGGGAGGAACTATATCTGTTTCTCTCACTGTGACCAGGGAATCCAATGCTCCTGGTCGCATCCCTTTTCCGCCGCCTGTAAAAGTAATCCAGCAGCTATATAGGTTCTAGGATTACTCTTACATTGAAAGGAATCCCCTCCTGTAAAAAAGCGGTACCAGACTCCTAGAACTAGCCTCAATCATGATCCCTGTATAGCCACTTCAATACCAGGACTTATATGGTGGTATTGAGATGGTTAAATAAATCCGCTAATATGAATATCAGAAATACTGTAGTTTATTTGTTGAATTATATAAATGGTTCAGGCATGCTGAGATACTCGAAAAGGAATGGTCTATGCCTTTTTAACTATATTTTGCTACATTGTAGGAACCTTTGGAATGCAGTCTATGCTGGTAAAATAGAATGTTAGGGTAAGGACAACTAATCAGCTGTATAGCAGGAAAACTCATCCTTTATTTGGCTTCATGCAGGTATGGCATATTTCAATATACCTGTCTATAAAGGGTTATATTTTTGGATAGCAGATTAAAGAACAAGATAAAAACATCTGTGTAGCAGAGAAACATTGAAAGCATTGTAATGTGCTGAGCATTCTTCCACAAGTATTTGCAAGGTCTGTGCATATAGCTCGTGATGAAATGTCTTCATATTGACTACATATTGTTTTTATTTTATACAAAAGAGTTTCTCTTACGGTTTGCATTTACAAGCCTATGACACTGCCAACTTTCAAAAAGTGCATAAAAAACTACAACTATCAGTTTGCTACACTACCAAATCCTTGCTATGTTTTATAAGGTGAATTCTGATGTGCTATTGTTCCATTTTTTTACATCAGTTATTATCAATCCAACTATGTCTTGTTTTTATCTTTTATGTACTGTGGCATGTAACCACTTGCCCTCCAGAGGATTTACCCCCCTTCCCGACCAGGCCATTTTTTGCTATATGGCGCTGCGTTACTTTAACTGGTCATGCAACGCTGAACCCAAATTAAATTTACGACCTTTTTTCCCACAAATTGTGCTTTCTGTAGGTGGTGTTTGATAGCCTCTGCGATTTTTATTTTTGCGCTATAAACAAAAAAAGACTGAAAATTTTGAAAAAAAAAATTTTTTTTTTTTTACTTTTTGCTCGTAGCCTCCCTGGCAGTATTTCCGAGTGTAGCTCGGGGTAAAGTTTCAGTACCACAAGCAGTAACCCCGAACTACACTCGGGCTTACCATGCGGCGTTGCTCCACGATCCCTCGGTCACTTACCTTGTCCTGCGCTCCCGTGATGTTCCTCCTGCAGTGTCCCCGGCAATGTAATCCGGCGGATGCCGGCATCTGTCATCTGGGTTCCATCCTCTGCGAGCGTCGGGACATACGGGGGACGGAACGGCGGGAAATTTGAAAATGACAAAAAGTGACATTCACAAAAATCACTAAAATCACATAGTAAACCATTATTGTACCAAACCATTTTACATACATTTTGTCCCTAGTGCTTTGTCCTGTGCCCTGCCTGCATTTTTACTGTTCTTTCTACCTGGAAATTGAGAAATGTCCATGGTGTCCAAAAAGTGTCCCTTTTAGGTCAAAAGCGGTTTTAGACCAGCTAGAGAACAGTGATCGTAAATTAGAACTTCTTTCAGAATTGAGTGATAATGATTCGTGGGGAAATTCATCATCAGGCACTGAAAACGATTTTGCGACTTTGCTCAGTGATGTGCGAACTTGGCACTATATTTTACATTTCAGTGTTTTTGGTTTGATTATATTATTGATTTAAATATATTATTATTATATTATTTTTTATGATTATTTATTAAATTATAATTTATGATTTCATGTTTCAAGTTTTATCATACCCGGGATGTTTACTAGACTCTTGCTCGGACAGATTTCAGTGAGTTATTCCTAAGAATTACAGGCCTACAGTATAAAACGCCAACTTTACATGCAAAATAATGGTACCGCTTTCAGCACCAAAAATCTGAAATAATCATACCACCAGGGAGGTTAAACATGTCAAGTAATAAAATAAAAAAAAATCAAATTTCTTCATACATTTAGACCAAAATGTACACTGCTACATGTCTTTGCTGAAAACAAAAATCCCAATACGTGTAAATGAATTGGTTTACGTGAAAGTTATAGTGTTTATAAATGGCGGTATATATACTGGAATTTTTTTATTTTTTTTTACTAGTAATGGTGGCGATAAGCGACTTATAGCGGGATTGCGGGACTGCAGCGGGCATTCTGACACTGGGGGTAACTGACTTGATGTCACGGACATCCCCAGTGACACCAATACAGTGACCAGTGATAATAAAAAGCACTGACACTGTACTAATGGCACTGGGCAGGAAGGGGTTAACATGAGGGGCGATCAAAGGGTTAACTGTGTGCTGTGTTACTGTGTGCTTTACACTGTAAGCACACTGCTTTGTGTGGCTCTGCTGAGCTGAGCCATACAAAGCAGTGTGCAGGAGCTGACAGGGGAGAGATCTGTATTGTTTACACACAGGTCTTTCCCCCGTCGGTGATACTTGGAGATCACCGAGTACCGGTGGGGAATCACCGGCCGGGACAAGGTGATTGACAGCTGAGGCCGCAAATGGCGGTGCAGGTAGTGTGAGTGCCACTTACTTGGAACTGCAAAATCATATATATATATATATATATATATATATATATATATATATATATATATATACGTGATTTTGCGTACCTGTGCCACCCTGCAGCAGTATTTCTGCTATTGGGCTGCGTGGAAGTGGTTAATTCACTGAATGCAATAAAGTTGATTTACTAAAACTGCAGAGTGCAAAATCTGATGCAACTGTGCATGGTAGCCAATCAGCTTCTAACTTTAGCTTGTTCAGTTAAGCTTTGACAAAAAAAAAAAAGGCAGCAGATTGGCTACCATGCACAGCTGCACCAGATTTTGCACTCTCCACTTTTAGAAATGCAACCTAGTGTTTGACTTTACAAAGGAATTTCTCATTAGCATAGTGAATGTGGTGAAAACTCACTTTGCAAAGAATATCCACTTAAATGCAAGGAAAAAAACAAAACAAAAAAACCCATATATATATATATATTATAAATGAAAAAAAATATATATATATATTTTTATAATTTCATTTTTTTTACATTTCTTTATTTTTACTTGGACTTGATTGGATGATGGAAGTTAGCAGAGCTTCACCTTGTTCTCAAAGCAAACTGCCTATTTGCCTTTAGTAGATCAAACCCAATAGGTAAAAGTTTAAATATCAATATACAGGATTTAGTTGCCAATAGTTTTTGCATCACTTACATAATAAAGGAGTACAATTCAGTAGGGTTGAGAGGACCCTGCTTGTGAAAGTTGCCAACAAGGGAAGGTCAAGTGATACAAAAGGTAATAACTTTGAGGGATAAGCTGATGTTGAAAGTATAACTACAATTTATTAGGTGGAGGCAGTGTCGGCCTCCCTGTAGACATGAATTTTCAGGGATTGACTAAAGGCAAACAAACTAGGAGATTGAAGTGGGGAGGTCCAGAGGATGGGAGAGGCTCTGGAGAAGTCACGGAGGTAAGCATGGGAAGAGGTAATGGGGAGGCTAGAGAGCAGGAGGTCTTGGAAGGAACAAAAAGGATGGTTTAGGTGATATTTTCAGATGAGGTTGGTGATGTAGTTCAGGGATTATGGATGGTTCATATATTTTATGGATGGTTCATATATATGGTCGATATCCATGAATTACATAAGTATCAATACTGATTAGTGTTTAACTCTTTCCAGAGTGTAGTGTTAGAACCACCACCTCCTTTTTTCACTTTGATTGTTGCTACTATAGTTGGCAGTTTGTAGCTGGTTGCCCAGTTGTAGCCCTTGTGCTCTCTGAGATTTTGGCAACATACGGAGGCTGGAACAAAAAAGTGCACCTGTTAATGCATTTCCTTATGATGTGTATGCGGGGCTGTAGACCAAGGAGCAAATGGCAATTTTTTGGACAGACTATGAATAGCAGATGGATTGTGCCTATAATAAGACTCTGTGAAGGCTGCAGTGATTAGCCATTACAGACAAGCATGCCAGACAATTGTTATGAACTTCTTAGGACAGATTATGACTATATAAAAATAAATAATTACCTAAATATATTTTGTTTTTCCCTTTAATATATAGCTTACGCTTCATGGCACAATCATATATTGAAAAGACAAAAGAGATTCAAAAGTACACGTTGGGGATGTGAATTATAAATCCAGGAAGGGGATCAAAATAAATTGTTAAATTTGCAGTCTATAGCAGCAAGTGCAGAGGCTGTGCTATCTTCTGACCCTTTGACAACAGCAGGTGCTTATGAAGCGGTTATTTGGCTGCTCTTTGGAGCGTGTGAGAGGTCAGTGAAATAAAATCTGATGCACATTTGTTTTAGTATAAATAATAATAGAGTCCACGTTTTTCAACTTTAAAATTTCTACCCAGTCGCAGCGCTTTAGAAATATCAAAAATAAACCTTGATATAAACAATAAATATAATATTACAAGTTGTGCTGTTAATTATACAGCCCTGGCCAAAAGTTTTGAGAACAACACAAATATTATTTTACCTGCAATGCAATCATCATTACTTTGTGCAAAAAGGGGTTCACAGGCAAGGATATTGCTGCTACTAAAATTGCACCTAAATCAATAATTTATTGGATCATCAAGAACTTCATGGAGGGAGGTTCAAGTGTTGTAAAGAAGGCTTCAAGCACCCAATAAAGTCCAGAAAGCACCAGGACTATCTCCTAAAGTTGATTCAACTTCGGGATCGGGGCACCACCAGTGCAGAGCTTGCTCAGGAATGGCAGCAGGCAGGTGTGAGTGCATCTGCACGCACAGTGAGGTGAAGACTTTTGGAGGATAGCCTGGTGTCAAGAAGAGCAGCAAAGAAGCCACTTCTCTCCAGGAAAAACATCAGGGACAGACTGATATTCTGCAAAAGGTACAGGGACTGGACTGCTGAAGACTGGGGTAAAGTCATTTTCTCTGATGAATTATTTTTCCAATTGTTTGGGGCATCTGGAAAAATCCCTTGTCCGGAGAAGAAAAGGTGAGCGCTACCATCAGTCCTGTGTCATGCCAACAGTAAAGCATTCTGAGACTATTCATGTGTGGGGTTGCATCTCAGACAAGGAAGTGGGCTCACTCACAATTTTGCCTAAGAACACAGCAATGAATAAAGAATGATACAAGAACATCCTCCAAGAGCAACTTCTCCCAACCATCCAAGAACAGTTTGGTGACGAACAATGCCTTTTCCAGCATGATGGAGCACCTTGCCATAAGGAAAAAGTGAACTAACGGTCTTGGGGAACAAATCTTTGAAATGTTGGGACCATGGCCAGGAAACTCCACCAGATCTTAATCCCATTGAGAACGTGTGGTCAATTCTCAAGAGGTGGGTGAAAAAAAAAAACCCTACAAATCCTGACAAACTCCAAGTGTTGATTATGCAAGAATGGGCTGCCACCAGTCAGGATGCGGCCCAGAAGTTGATTGACAGCATGCCAGGGCAAATTGCAGAGGTCTTTGAAAAAGAAGGGTCAACACTGCAAGTATTAACTCTTTGCATAACCTTAATGTAATTGTCAATAAATGCCTTTGACACTTATGAAATGCTTGCAATTATACTTCAGTATACTATAGTAAAAAGATCTAAAAACACTGAAGCAGCAGACTTTGTGAAAATTAATATTTGTGTCATTCTCAAAAGTTTAGGCCAGGCCTGTACATTTCCATATATTGTATAACCCCTTTGTTTTAATGGCCAGACATAATTAAAAAAAATAAAGCATAATCACAGTGTACAACATAAAGTGTATCACCTTCACAATATTTAGTTGAATCTTTCAAACAATGTCCTTTCAAAAATTATCTGTTCTAACACCCTTCCAAATTATATGCAATGATATCTCTTCACCAAAGGTAATCATGCCTGTGATCTCTCTAGACCTAATCCTTTTTCCAGTGATTTTAAATTTCTTTTCAATGCACAAACTCCATATAGAGCATATCATGATAGAAACATACACTTACTGTAAAGCTTTTTATTCAAACAAGTATTAAAATATTTTAAAAAATCCACCAGTTAGAAGAGCTTCAGTCCCCCCCCCCCCCCCCCCCCAAGAAAACAGAAGTCAGCAGCTACAAATACTGTAGCTGCTGATTTGCAATATAAGGACACTTACCTATCCAGGGATCCAGTGCTGTCCTCACCTGAACTGGTTCTTTACTGGTCTTTGGATCCCTAGTGCCGGCATCTTAAATCTGCTGTAAAGCCTTATGGCCTCACAGCCGGCTTCCCACTGCACATGTGCAAGTCAAGCTGTGCTTTGTGAATGGCCCCACAGCACGTGTCCCAGAAGGCTGCAGGCGAAGGGGGTGTGTGAACTTTAACTCAGATCACCTGGGCGATCCAGGAGATAGTGGAAACCAGGTACCTGC